TTTATTAAACTTCATTTTTTATCGACTAACTTATAAGCTAATAGATAGTTTTTCATCTAATACGCCAAACATAACCTAAAACTTTGTAGGTTTAAACTATTTTTTTTTTATCTTCAAATTACTTTTTTTCACATCTTTTTCTAGTACTACCAAATTTTCATTTTTTTAACAAAGAAGATTGGTTTTTGTCCCTTTCCATAAACACGTTCAAAACTTAACCCAAAAACACAAAGAAGAATTTTGAAAATCATGCATAGGATTTGAGAATTTTTGAATACTATATGAATTTTCGAACCTCCTGAAGAAGAAGAAGAAAAAAAAACATGTTTTGTCAGAAAAAATAGTTCAAAAATTATAAATTTTCAAATCCCGTTGTCATTTGCAAAAAAATCTAAGTAAAAATGGTTATTGGCTTCTAATAATTAACCTTGTATCACGTCAACTTGTACTACATTGACTAATTATCTTAATTGATTTGATTAAATTTAAAAAATACAAATACAACTCCAAAAGAATTTCAAAGAATCAACAATCTAAATCCCAAATTTTCATTAAATAATCTAAAGTGTTGTATTTTCTAGTTACTATATTTAGTTGTTGTATGGAGGACGAATGAATTATTAGAAAGACTTAACAATACAAAATAATAAAACACCAGACCATTACACGAGTAAATTAAAAATAATAATAATAATTAAAAAAAAATCCCCTGCATGCCAGCTCATCGCCTCCCACCCCGGCGCGTGGGTCCGACCTTGGACCTGGATACTTGGAGAACTGCAGCCTCAGATATGCAGAATCAGGATCATGTTCATCCATCTTATAACCTATTCACCAAAATAATCAAATTAATAAATAAAAATGATGTAATAAAAAAAAATGAAAGTAAGATTCTATAATACACAAATAATATTTCTTGCATTTAGCCTTAAAAATCAATACCTTGTAAAGCACTCATTGCAGTTGCTGCACAAGCAGGAGTACTAAAATCCACAAAACTAATAATAACGGGATCTCCATTTCGTTGCTATAAAGAGAAAAATAATGCAAATTTAATTTGTATTAAATAAAAGTAGGATATTTATATAAACATATTAAATGGAAGCATGATGCTATTTCTTGCATTTAACCAATATAAAAATATAAGTAGTGGAGAAGAAAACAAATATAACTAAATTTGGTGTTATGAATTTTGGCTTACATGTTTTGATTCCTTGCTTACAAGTCGCACTTCTTTATACCCAACAAAAGGACGAAAAATATCTTGGTACCAAAGTAAAGGAATGTGAGTATTTCATTTAATATTGTACAAAAGACATGAGGGGCATTTACGTCTTTTACACACACGAGAGGTTGCGAGATCAGGAGCAAGTCTTTGTCCCACCTTTTTGAATGGGACAAAAACTTGCAATTTTGTCCCATTAACATCAGCCTCAGTCCTCGTTCAATGCACGTAAAATGACCATTTTGCCCCTCTCCCGCATAACAAACAAGGCAAAAAGGATATTTCGGATGAGGAGGGCATTCACGTCTTTTTGCACAGGTGAGAGATCAAGAAGTCAAGAGAGAGTCTCTGTCCCACCTTATTCCACCTTTTTGGGTGGGACAAAAATCCCATTAACATCAGTTTCAGTCCTAGTCCAATGCACGTAAAATGACCATTTTGCACATGTTATGCATAACAAACGGGTCCCAAAGGATATTTATGATGATGAAGATTAGGAGGGCAGTAATGTCTTTTGCACATACCAAAGGTCAAGAGTTCGGTATCCCATCCGCCTCTCCGTCTCTGTCCCACCTTTTTTAATGAGACAAAATTTCAAATTTTGTCCTGTTAACATCAGTCTTAGTCCTAGTCCAATGCAGTAAAATGACCATTTTACCCCTGTCCCGTGGGACTCAAAAAAAAGGATACAAGCCACCTCTCTCCTCATTAAAACTTTTTGAACGGGACAAAAACTTTCAACTTTTGTCCCATTACCATCAGTCTCAGTCCTAGTCCAACGCATGCAAAAAATGACCATTTTGCCCCTGTCCTACATAACAAAGGATACGAGCCACTTCTCTCTTTGTGCAATTTGGTGGGAGTCCCTCAATGTAAAGGGTACTTGATGCATTAGCAGGAAGAGGCAAAGTTTCACGTACACCTCTACCCATCATATTCATATCAACAGGCGAATGATGATGATGATTATGATGATCCATTTGAAGGGCTCGACCATTTGGTCCATGATCAAGGCCCATGGGCCCACCACGGGTCATTGAAATCGGATCCGATAAAGGAAAAGAATGCATTCCACCACCAATTTCCCTTCCTACCCCTGACACAACACCATAGCCACTACCTTCCCCCGATGAAAGCTTCTAAATTAGTCATAAACAAGAACATGTAAGCAAACTAATCAAATAACAAGACAATCAGATGCTCTTTCTTTTTGACTTAATAAAAAAAGTCAAGGAAATGAGATTTTTTAAGATTATTTATCCAGACAACACTTCATACAAGGTGGACTTAAAAAAAAAAAGTAGATTGGGATTACTGCAGTTTGGAGGTAGTGATCATATGCAGATCCAATTGTCTTTGTGTCCTTTACAGCATGACTGTGGGCCCCTCCAAGATCATCATTTTGTGGCAAATAATTATTAGGCATTTCATAAGAGAATGGTAATCCAGCAGGTGGGAGATCTGCATTTATCCATAACAGGTTATAAATTAGCCACTTATTAAGTATTATTACAGTTATATGCCACTTTGCTATAACAGGTTATAATGGTATATTTTGAACAACCATTAATTGGTTATAATTGGTTACCTTCTAGACATTAAAATGAGAATAATGACTAAATGAGCATACATACAATATAATTGGTTGCTAAATGCCTAAATCATTACATAAAGTATGAAATGAGCACATAGGGAATCGTTTGTTGCTAAATCTTGACATAAACCATTCTTTATGCTCAAATGTTAAAGAACTGATATTTTATCAACTAAAAATTTAGGATGTTAAATTCTAGAAAATCAAGATCAGGCCTGGTTGAATGTTGTTACATAGAAGGAGCATTGAGATTGAAAGTAGTAGGATCTGGATCCCTAAGAATAAGATCATGGGTGGATTCAAGTACTTTTAGACAATTGATTCAGGGTATTTCGAAGTCACCCCTAGACTACTAAAACGGATCCAGATTCCAGGAAACTGACATTTGTATTGCACCATGATTACTTCAAACTTAATTAGCTATGGGGTTTTATATTTGTGAATCAAAGCATCAATCTTGCATACCCAAGCACCAAATCACTACCAATAATCAAACGAAAAAAGCTCATAGAGATCAATTGGTATCTACCATAATCAGAACGAGGTCGTTTAAGCAGTGAAGCTGAAGAATATAGCTGCTGTTGTTCGTGCTGTTGTTGTTGCTGCTGCTGCTGCTCTCGTTGTCTACTCCAATAGCCATCTGCCATTTCTGCTGTAAATTCAGCTTGTGCAAGTAAAGTATCGAATCAAACGAAAGACGAAACTGAAAATCCGTGAAAAATGCGATAATTGGAGGGTAATTAGCGGGAACCCGAGTTAAGTACCTGGCGCAGAGTATAGAACCCTAGGGTTTGCGTGTTGTGCCCTGTCGTTAAAGGTCAAACAGAATCAAAATTGAAGGCTTCTCCTGTTAGGAATTTGGATTGCGGATGCAGTTTGAAGCGACTCAAGAGAAGTCCAGTGGCAACGACGCACGTCCACTCCGTAGACGTGGATTTGTTACGCTATTGAGCCCCCTAGGGTTGCATAATTGTGGCGACTCCAAACGTGTTGGTGGTAGGTTATTTTCGTTACCAAAAAAATTAGGGGATAATCAATAAATATCATTAAATGATTTTTTTTTTTTTGAAAATTTACTATAAAACTATTATTTAGTATTTTTGTAATATATTATTTTTGTAAAATTAATTAAGAATAGGTTTATAAAAAAATTATGAATACGAATTCATTGAGAAACACAATAAAATATATAAAAAAAACGATAATTCTCCATAAAATATAATGGCCACTTCACTCGATGAATTTGACATGGTTTTACAATAATATGAAATAGACATTGTATCTCCAACCTCTATATAATTTATACTAAGTTTATTTTTAGATTAAAATATCAAACTATACACTAAATATATCATTATATATAGTGTTAGGTGCATATTGAACATTGAATATAACGTTATACTATTCATCAACACTATCTTTTTACACTATAAAAGTTGGATAAAATATAATATACCTAGAATAATTTTTTCAGTGTTAAGTATAATGTAAGAAAGAATTAAGTTGCATTATTTTTATACTATAATTATAAGTTTAGTATAAAAGATAGTGTAAAGGATTGACAATTATCTAAATCTAATACAAATCTAGGAAACAAACAAGTCTTGCAAGAAATAAATGATTTACTAATGCATCTCCCCATATACGGTCGATTGGCTCGCTTTTTGTCTCCTTTTGGTCAATGATCGTGTATCCTCTAACGAGATGGGCTCGTGTTTTTCCCTAAGTCGGGAAACTAGTTGGCATCCGCTTCTAAAAAGGGATCGCACTTTCAGTGTTTGTAATTGCATAAGAGATCAATGAAACTTATGAATGTTTCGTTCGGAATAAGAAACTTAAGGAGATTCCCAACAGACAGTTAACTATCTGGTATATAGGTCAACCCTAAGTGACGTTTCTTAAGACAATAAGACATTGATTAAACAAACGTATCGAAAGTCCGATGGGATGGTGAAACTGACAGCTTTCGATTACGATTGATTGCTTGGAGAAGGTGATCTCTACCCATAGGCTTCTACGGCTCTACTATAGAAGATTCTAATATGATATATTCCTTTTGATGTGAAAGTCAATGGTAATTTAATACATAAAGTCGAATAGTTAAGGGTGTCTTTTTTTTTTTTTTTTTTTTTACAATCATGTTGGTTAAAAACTTATTACAAACAAAGTAGGAGTTAAACCAATAATTAATCCGGTAATTACACTTGCTTCAAATGTTAATCATGAAAATCTCCTTTGAAACTTCTTGCTTCTTCATCTCTGTGTCTTTAATTCGAATCCCCCCCCCCTCCCCGGAAAAATGCTTCTTTCCTCTCGTAAACGAACTCAAAAATTACCGTAATCGCAATGAAATCATCCAATATGATTGTGTGCTTTTTTTTCCTTGGGTCTACATGGTTGTGTAAAATGTCCTTTGTGTCCTTCCTTTCACACGATTGTGTGGATTTTAAGGCATGCATCTATATGTTCGTGTCTATATGTTGTTGGATCACCATCTTGTGATTTCTATTTTTTCGTTTCTCGCTTTTGGCACCTGAAAATAGTCCCAACGGACCCTCAAATGTTCCAAACCATGTCCCACGACAATAAACCAACTCCACACAAGTACAGAAAAGTCCCAGAAAGCAATGAAATGCATCATGTGAATATGTGAAATGCAATGCAAAAAGACAAGGAAAACATGTTAAAATATGCATAATTGTATACTAGGGCAAATGTATTTAAAATAGGAGGATCTATTCATATGTCGTAAGTGCTATTAACTTTTTCAGATCATGCTTGTTGTTGACAAGGCTTAAAATGCATCCAATACATATAAAAAAATGGTTTTGTTTATGAATCTAAATTAATTATACTAACGACGCCGCAAAACACATTTAGAAATGATTATATATGTATAATGGAGTCCCACTAACCACACCTGCCATGAGTGCAAGAGAAACCTAGTAATCATTCCAAACAAGGCATAGGAAGATTTAATTATTTAACAATAATAATTCTTGTTTTAACCCAAGTTGCTTCCATAATAAAATCGAACAGTCTATTCTACAGATTGAACGGTTAAAAGTTTTGTTCAAAATCCAGACAAAATAAGAATGCAATGTATTTTATCAAGCGTTAATGAACTCGTGTTACAATATTCACAATATTAACGTATCTAAATTTTTATGGATCAAGTACAAGGGCGAAAACACAACCGTTAAACTAAACTTCCTTGTGCAATAGTAATGTATTTTTTTTTCACATTTTTTGATCTTGTTTTGTTGAAACTTTGAAAACTTACATTGTTTACATATAATAACAACATGTTTCCAACTCCTTGAACATAACAAACTTATATTTATTTAACACTTTGTACAAATAAAACACATTCGAAATATAAGTATGTTGGTATTATAAATAAAGTTCAATTACAAAGTTATCAATGATAAAAATAAAATGCATGTTGTTATAACGGTTAAAACTAAAATACATTGCCCTTGCAAGTGCAAAGTACATTATTATTCTACACAATTTTATGTGTAAAATAAACTAAATGCGTTGTCATTATAAGTAAAAACTAAAATAAATTATCCATATTTGTAGTCAGTTTAAATTGTGTTACTATTATACACAATTTTACTCGTAAAGTTATGATTTTTAAATTTATAAATCACGTAGAGCCTTTTTTATGATATATTGACAAGTCCATAACTAAATAGGTAATATCATCAATTCTTGACGGACCTGTGGTTGGGAGTCTTTGCACATCTAACCTTGTGTTGCTAGCAAAATGGCGGTGGCACATCAAAACTGAAGAAAATTCTCTTTGGGCTCTTGTAATTTGTAATATCCAAAAGTATTTTTGTCAAAACAATGAGCCTTTAGCTAAAAGATCTATTCTCAACTCGTGACTTAGTATTACTAAATTAACGAGGACCTTTTCGGACATCGTGATTGGCCTTGCATATTTATTCAAAAGGAATGTAAGAAATGGATATGGACTTAAGGTTTTGGAAGGATAAGTGGGCTGAAAATATACATATGAAAAGGTAGATTTCGTCGTTTATACCATATTAAAGCCGAGAAAATTTGCATTGGTTCTCATAGGGTATTGATCAAGGAAGACTTGTCCATTCATTGGTCATGGAATTAGAAAAGAAGGAGATACGAAGTTGAAGAATTTGAGTATTTTAATTTGGTCTAACTGATACAAACGTTTAGCTTTTTGTTTCATGTGGCACTTGGGAGTAGGTGGGTGATCATTGGTGTGTTTTCTGTAAAATCCCTTAGATTAATCATCGATGCTTCAGTTTTCAACCCTTATCTTGTTGACATTCAATGGAGACAAGTTAGGTTCGTGGCCAAAATCAATTGTTTCACATGGAGATTGCTTCAAAAAAACATAAATTTATCCATAAATCCTAATCACATAGTAGTCTTGATTTCATCTACTTCTTATCCATTTTTTGGCAACACTGCTCCAAGAGTGTGGATTGGTGTGTTATTGGCGTTGGTAAAAAAAAACACTTTTTTGTTCCATTTAACTCTCACCTCTCACTCGTCTCACTCATGTAGTTTTTTTTTTTTTTTTTTCATATAGAAGACTAGAAATGCTCTTATTTTCAAAAAAAAAAAAAAGGATTATTACATAAATAAAATCGTTAGATGAAATCTAATTTGATCTCTTTAATTGGCTAAAACATAAAGCAAAGTTATTCAACATTAATTAGTATTCTTGATGTGTTGCTCCCCTTTGATTGCTTGCTCATTTAGTTAATATATATTTCCGCCATTCTAACAAAATGTATTGTCACTTGTATACATCCATTTTCTTTATAAAAAAAACTAAAGAATGTGCATAGAACATAAAACAAGTCCTAAATCGAAAATAACTAAGGGTAAAACAGTTTCGAAAATCAGTAATCTAAATTTATTTAAAAAGAAACCAAAATATTCGGTCCGATTCGATTTTAAACAATCACAAATATCAAGAACCGAACCGTTAGACATTAAACTATGCTGCCTAGTTATATTGCTCAATAATTTTCAATTAATATTTAACAAAATACATGTTTATTTTACCAAAAAGCATACACAAGCAGAAAAATAACTAAACTAACAGATCTAAAAGAACCAAAACTCAAAAACAGTTTTGTAAAACTCCGACCAATGCATTATGGCCTGGTTTCACTTTTATGCTAACATTGAACCAATCCCTAATGTTAATTTTTAATTTTAATTTAACAAGTATAATTAAAAAGAAAAAGCATTGAGAGTGATTGAACAGTGTTTGGTGAGCTTCCCCTTCCAAGTTTACACATACACCCCACTTAGTTTATTTTATTACAAAAGGGCCCCGCATATGCATCATTCATACCAATACCTTGGTCGCTCACCTACACAATCTTCGTAGCTCGTCATCCCAAAATTCTGAGCCGATTACCGATAACGAGAACGCTTTTTTTCACTTTTCTTTTTGTCACGCATGCTTCGAGGAAAGATCGCCGTACTTAATAATCCTCGTTACCCTTCATTGATTATTACTTAGTTAATCAAAGTTTTAATGATTCAAATATGATATTATAATACCTTTTTTTTATTGTAAATAAAATATTTTCTAATTCCAAAACAATAATATTATAGTAAGTAGGGAATGCGTAACCACTATTATTTCTTTGTGTTGGTATATCAGTTGGCATTAACTATTTTGTTAACATGTTATCAAAAACATTTTCCAAATTATTTTTTAAATTGTTTAATATGTTTTAAAAAATGAATAATAATTTAAATTATTATTTAATGAAACAAATAAAGTACAATACAGAAAGTTAGAAAATTAAAATAACTGGTTATTTCTTTGAAAATATAAAAAGTAATAAAATTATTGCATGCATAGTTATAAAATATAAATATAAATACTCTATAATTATTATAAGTTTAATATTTAATATTAAAAATTAAAATTAAACAAATTGAATGATCAGAAAATAATAAATATTTTAGAATTAAATATAATTAAAGAGTTATTAAATGAAGGGGTTTTACACCTAAAACTTCAAATATCATTTAGTACAATCTAAATGATTGATAGTAGTGTGACTAAATAATAAACATAATAATTTTTCAATAGTATAAACTTGTTTTATTTGATTATAGAGTATATAGAGTATTAGCGTTTCAAAAAAAAAACTTCACGTTGAATATGTTTTGATTATATATTATTAGCAGGTAATTCGAATTTGAACATTAGTTTGATTATATATCATTAACCTTTTAAAAAACTTCACTTTGGATATGCTTTAATTATATATTATTAGCCTCTTAAAATCTTTATCTTCCTGTTGAATATGTTATAAAACCGTTTTATATTTTAAGTACATAAATAAACTTGGAACATTTATTTATTTTTCATAATATTTTGATGTGAATGATGTTAATAACTTCTTTTACTAGACTTAATTATTTGAGATAGTTTCATAGTTATTTTTAAATAATTCAAATTGTCTAGTGAAATTTATGATATCAAATACAATTCTGAAAAAATAAAATAAAAATATATCTAAAGTAAATCACAAAAATGGTCCATATAATTTCATCAGAATCGTAAATTCAGCCCCAATTTGTACATTATTCACATATCGTAAATTGAGTGTCTCATGTTTAAGTGGAAATGGTGTGTATTTTGGAGGTTTGGTTGCACATTTTGTCATATATATGTTTGGAGCTTTTGAACCCATATTCTTGATATGGTTTACTAGGGTTTTGTAAGGTGTCTTGAAGTGTACTTAACGGAGTTATAGAAGAAACAAATGTTTATATTAATGGACACATTTTTCTATTTTTTTGTGTATTAATTTTCATGATGGTGGTGGTGGGGTGCCATTTATATTTGTAAATAATAAAACAGAAAAAAATGGTTATTTTCACGGATTTAACAGTTAATCATAGCCAAGATGAACCAACTTTGTAATTTTGTGAAAATACATGAATGCAATCTAACAACTTTTTAAAAATTACACAAAACCC